AGGTGCCTTACTAGTAGTAACAAGAAGCTATTAGTAACAAGTGCCACCGAGTCGACTCGCATATCGGTCGGACCTGGACGGCTCGGACGACTCGGACGACTCGGACGGGTTCTCTGCGGAATGAAATGGGGCCGACTTGGGGGAGCCGAAGCGACCAACATGGGCTATACGGAATGCTTGTTGTGCAAGGAAAGCTCGATTCTAGCTGCTCCGCAAATCTTCCAAACACCGCTCCAGGGAGACTCAAATGCCCCAAGCAAGATGCCAGCAGTTGCAAAAAAATCAACATCGAACACAAATTTGGGGAAACCTGATCTCATGATGATGGAGCAGAGCATCACTGCTTCGTCCGGATCCAACCGCTGCTTCGTCTCACCTTCATCTCCATGATCTCCGCCATCACGCAAACGCACTCTCCGCGCACCGAGCACGGCGGGAATCGCACAGGCGTGCTGATCGAAAACGCCGGGAGCGGCTGATGGAAAGACTCTTTGGAGTCCAGGTTGGTCTATTTCCCGCCCGATCTGCATGGGAAAAGCGTTCTCCAAGCACTCAGGAAGGATTTCTGGGGTTCTTACGGTGAGGCTGGACTCCTACACCTCCTTCGTCTATCTAGTCTTGGCCACTCAAGAAGAACTGAAATATGGAACGATGGAATTTGCTGAAGCTGTGGTATTAACAAAACAACCGGGTGCTTAGATGCTTAGGATAGCAAACTCAGAAGAGATGCAGAAATCATAAAAGTTCCGACGAGTTCTGCTTCCGCATTTCTTGACATCGTTGCTAAGCGACCGTGTCGCGCTTTTAGAGACTTTGTAGATTTCTGTTCTGATTTGCCAACACATGTGTTCTATGTCTGGAGCTGGCAGCTACGCAGGAACCGGCGACAGAAACAATTTAGCTTCCAACTTGGACTTCATTCTTCGCACAAACAAACCATCAAACATCATTAAACCATGGATTGCCAATGCATTTTCTCAGGGAAGACGCCCTAATATGCCCAAGATAGTGTCCATATAATATATATTATATACGCGATGGAACATTACCTATCTTACAAAAGCTGCCCTAGATCGTACGCACCTGGAAGTCCATAATATGTTACCCACAAGCATCAACGATACCAAGAAGAGATTCATGTCTCAGAAATCCTGGAAACACCGTCCACATGCAGAGTTGCCCCAACCAGTGGGCTTCCATGTTTGAAAGACGTTTTCATGGCCATCTTGTCAGCTTCAAGAAAGCAGCCAGTGGTGCAGTGAATGAGTCTGTTTTCCATTTTCTGTTGGAACATCCCCAGTAGACCGACCTTTGCATGCCACACCTACGTAGAGCCTGTTGTGGCCTGTATCGCGTCTTCATCCAAACCTAGTGGCTTTGCATGGCAAGTGAGCTACTGGCAAGCAACAAACAGAAAGGACAAACAAATACCACCTAAAAGATGTTGCCCTGCAATGTATTTGTGAATTTTCTTCAACCTACTGTATGCCAGCTCCAACATGACGACCTTGGAAGGCGCTGCAGGACCATGTAAAAAGACACGAGTCCCGTCGGCCAACATCCTCTATAGGGACGATAGGGTTTTTTTCCAAACTGTAGTAACAGGTGCCACGCTAGTAGTAACAAGTGCCTTACTAGTAGTTAAAAAGCTATTAATTTAATTTAATGCAATGCACAATGTAAGACTTGAGTTTGACCAACGACCTCGTCCAGCCCCCCCCCAAATCGCCCAGGGCCCGATTTCAAGCGGATCCCCCACCGAGAAAGGCTGCGAGGTCCCTCGGTCCCTGACAGCCATGAGGGCCGGCCATGGGCCGCTAGCGGCCAACATGCCAAAAGAACGTGGAAAAACCGAGGGCGAAGGACGATGAACCAAGCTTGAGGGAGCGATGGCCTCCAACCTACTAGGGATGGGTGCGATGGTCTCCAACCTACTATCGATGGCCTCCAACCTAATAGCACACCATGAGCCAAATTTGTGGGTAGTGTTGAGCTAAGCCAAAGATGTGGTTTAAGGAACCATACTAGGACCTGGATCGTTCGTGACCTCTTTGCCCTCTCTGTTTGTGACCTTTGTGACCGGCCTTTTTGTGGCTTCATGATGGGATCTCAAAAAGGTCACGTTGAAGGTGAAACCCAACGTATGATCTTGCGAAGAGTCTTTTGATCTCCTCTGCGTCCTGCGTGAGCTCCGACCGGGGTCGTTGGACTCCAAAGACATCCAAAGACGATGTTTTTCTGTGTCATCAATCAGTCCCTGGACCGACGGCCTCGTTTGGTTCCCTCCCTTTGCCCAGATTGGACTTCTCACACATGTTGGATATAGTATGAGACATGATCAGAATCCGATCCAGTCTTGTTTATGTTGGGAGAGTTGGTAAAGTCAGTATGTAGTGCCGTAGTGCTGTCCACGCCCTTCAAGGTAGATTGACGGGGTTGAAGCCTCGTCAACAAATCCATACTGCTCAGCACAACGTAAAATGCCAGCACAGGGAGGAGTACCCACATGGGACACTTAAGGCCTTCAATGGATTTGATTGCCTCCCTGCAAGAGTGTGGCGAATGCCCCACGGTTCCTTTTTCAAATGCAACACCAGGTAAGACAACGACGGAGATCGAAAAACCGGACGACATGCCCAGCTGAGAATGACGCCGTCGCCTTCCACCGATCCATCGGAGTTCAACTGTTTCGACACCGACGGATCGATGCCATGGGACTTCTTGTTTCTACGTTCGCTTCTTGTTACTACTCTAGTAAGGCCAGGAGCCCCTAGAAGCGTCCTTGCTCCTAGTAGTAAGGCACTTGTTCCTACTAGCTTCTTGTTACTACTAGTAAGGCACCTGTTACTAGTAGCGATAGTAGCGATGCACTTGTTTCTACTAGCTGTTTGTGGGAACAACAAGGGTCGAGAAACCAAATCACAACCGCTCGTTGGCGCCGCCCCTCACACCGTGGCGCACCTCGTGAACGCGCCTCGTCGCTGTGAAGTTCCGCTCCAGTTTCCGGAGGGCCTGAGGGAGCATAGGGACTGTAGGAACCCAACGATCTGTCGTTGGTTCCCTGGTCCGCTGCGGGCAGTGATGTTGGAGAATCCCTGGTGAGTGAACCTTTCTTATTGTCAAGGCCCAACAGGATCCAACAGGTGGGTATTGATGAATCTCCAAATGTCTCACTGCTATACTCTCCAGTTCACTTGCATCAAACGTGATGATTTTTTTGAGAGCAAACTAAGGGTAGCTTCTGACTCTGTCTTGTTAGTTTAGCAGTGTAATGCGGTGTCCTAATACTTGAGATCGTTCTATAGGTTACGACGTTTGATACCAGCTCTGACATTAAAGGCATTTTCAGTCGACGTGGCCCCCCAGATCTAGAGCCTCCTGATTCCTACCCACAAATCTTGTACGAACTCATGGTCAAGCACCTGACTTACCGTGGCCTGCATCCCAACGGACTGGCCAACAAATCATTGGAATCTAGCTAATCTAGCAAGCCCCAAATGGCTACTCCTCAAAAACAAGGTGGAAGAACGTCATACACCGCTTCCGCGCAAAGAACGTTATGCAAAAGCTTCCGTGCAATTTTTTTTTCCTATGCATGTTTACTGTTTACTTTGGAAATCTGTAGAATCACTAGAAAGCAAAGTAGCCTAGTAGCCGCGTAGCCTAACTGATTCTTTGTCAGGCGCGTTTCCTCCAAGGAGTCCAAGTGGTACGCTGCTGGACGATCGATAAACATGTTTTCGCTGTGCTTTCGCTGCTTGGCGAAGAAAACAATGCACCTCCTCTTCCACTCATTGACTCTTCCGAGTGCCTTTGGCCTGGTGACGTGACGGGGCAGCTGACAAGCAAGAAAGCTATGGAAGACTCCATTCCCTATGCATCCATATGCTACGAACAAGAACGCCATGTTTTTGTTGCAAGCCAGTTCATCTGCAGTGAGATTCACTTGGGCAACTTCAGTCAAGATCTTCAGTTCGTGACCAAGTGCTCCTCGACAACATCAGAGACTTAGAATCAACTGCTGAAGATGTATATTTCTGTCGAAAAGTAACTTGTTTGTGACAACATCAGCAAACCTACCTCTCCTGCTCTTGACCCGATCCCCACCTCTCCCTTCAGCCAGCGGCTGGATTTCCGGTAGCACGTCCAAACCTCGGCGCGTCGCTTTAGTCGCGTGGGGGGGCCGAGACTAAAGGTTGGTCGTACCCTCAAAGACACACAAATTGCCAAAAAAACATATGGGTACGTGCGCCTCATCACAACATCTCAGAAACCCAAACCCACTGAGTACAAAAGGTATCATATTATGATTGCATAATACATCATGAAACCTATAGTAGCCCATATAATTACCAGTAGTTATTGATCATTATTGATCTATATTGTACTGAAATCTATATTTTTTCTTCTTTCTGCTTCCCATGAGTTCCCTCTCTGAACGCGCAGAACGCACGGCTTCCCAGCCATGAGGATACCCACCTCAGATGACGCAGGAGACTCCCACAGGGAGCAACGATACCCACGTGAGCAAAACGGTCGACCATCGGACAGAAACGTCGGCTGTGGGAGGCATGTTGTTTCTAAAAATGGTGTGACAATGTGCCAGTTGCAAAATAATGGCGACGTTGATTCAGCTCCACCGGTGGAGCTCTGCAGAGCATCTGGACACGGTTCTCAGCGTTTCCCACCGCAGTTGATGTTCTCATTCGCCCTGAAGAGTGCACCTTTCGATGCAATCAGTATGACTGATCACACTTTCATAATGGTCACATTTGGAAGGTCATGGTCTTTGTGCAAAAATAGGAGTAGCCTAGAGGACTCCACCGATTTTTCCCCTTACCTGATGGAAGGAATCATGCACCACCTGGCGCACCTGGCCTCATCAACCTAGTGCTTTCCTCCTTCTAAATGGCTCGACCTCGCGTTTTCTCTGAGTTCCATCCACCCGTGTCACCCAGCGGCCAGTATCCTCGAACCCACCGTCTTTCGGAATCCTGAGGAGAACGTGGAGGAAACAGCGTCAATCAGTGGTTGGGGCTGACACAGCATTGAGATAATATTACATATATATATATAAACATACATATATATATATATATACAGTATTGAGATGAAATACGCTGGATTTTGCATCCTGCAGGTATTTGCTGTATCTGTGGAGTTCCTGCCACTCAGCAAAAGCTGCAGTCGGTGGCTGACAATCTTCTCTCCTTTTTCAAATCCATCCCCCGCAGACCCCCGCAGCCGAAATGATGGATGCTTAGCAGAGTTACTTAGTAGCACCCCAAAAGCATGATGTTGTGAAGTGTACTGTCATTACGGCTAGGGTAAGAGATAGTCAGATAGTCATCCCCAAAAAAATCATCATGATGGACGAGAGTCATGAGATATTCGCCACCAACACATCCAGTGTATAGTGAAGGTTGAGGACAGCACCCCGGCTCAGGCCCACCCACACCACCGTGTTTCAGCTGCTCCACCAGGGGTGGAGGGACAGGATAGCTGTGTTTAGGCCGGTTGCTGGCCCGATTAGACCAGCGACCTCCACCACTCGGTGACCCAGCGGCACCCGAAGTGCAGACTCTAAGTGCCAGGAACCAAATGAATTTGGCCAAGTGGCTTGGCCATAAAATGAGCAGCGCCAAAAGCACTGCGGCCAGGCCAAGCTTCCAGCTCTCCATGGGAGCAAACGAGGTGGTCCAAGGCCACGGGTCTTTATCGTATTGGCAAGCATGTATCAATGACTGGTGGAAATAAGGCTGCTTGTGTGTAGTTTTGGATGCCGGGTTTGCTCCTTTCCCGTTGTCGCTGCATATGAGAAGTGAGTCTGCTTTTTCTTGGAGTCGGATGGGATGTCAGGTCCGGCGCACGTCATGTCCGGTCGCTTGTTTGGCTGCCCGAAGGCCCCTCACCCGAGCCCTAAACTTAGCTTGTACAATGCCGTTCATTTGACAAACCAAGCGGTGATTTAACCAAGCATGTACAGCAATTCCCCTCTTCGGATGGTCTACATGGAAGCATTCAGCTACTTGATGAGCAATCCAGCTCAGGTATGCCTGGCGTCTCGAGCCGATCGCGAGAGGCGATGCTTGGCTCCATGTCTGGCAGCCTTCAAACGATGCGTTCCTTGCCAGCCTTCAGACGAGGATCTCACTAGCCATCTTTTACGACTAGTAGCTTGTGGCATTACTTATATAGTAACAAGAAGCTAATAGTAATAAGGGCATTTCTACTAGTAGCAAGAAACTACTAGTAGCTCTTGGCCTTACTACTAGGAGCAAGAAGCTACTAGGAGCAAGGGCATCGCTACTAGTAGCAAAGGGCAATAATTACTACTAGTAGCATTCTTGCTACTAGCACGAACCGGCGATGTTTTGCTTGTTTATTCTTCCGAAGTTAAGGATGCATTGTGTATGAGTCTGTGTCTATCTGCTCTCATTGTCATACCATCCACAGCCCCATCCCGGCAAGCAATCGAAGGCGGTGAACTTCACACTCCATCCAAAACCCATTCACTCATGGCGAACTTGCCCCCTTTTTGTCCAAGGTCGTCCAAGGGTTCACATGGTTGGTCGAATCTACAGCAAGTTGGAGTCGATCAGCTGGTAGCACTTCACGAGTTTTTGTCCGAAGCGCTCTTCCTTGGTACCAAAAGAGCATACAATTTTGATTGTCTAGTCCAAAGATACAATCTGGGCTGGTGGCATTTGATTGCATGCCTGGTCTTGTCGCGCAAAATGATGTTTCATGTGCTTTCACAAGGCAGTCAGAAGCTTTTTTTTCAAAAGACTGCAAACGTGCTAGGTGATGGACGTGTCATTGGAGTGGATTACGAGATAGCTAACATAACAACCGCTATTGTGGTGAGCGGGTCTTTAAATTTATATTCATGTATCCTGCTGTATTTCACATCAATGAATGTGTGGAGAGTTGCCGTCTTCATGCCGTCTATCTTCTATCTGGACTTGTGGAGTGGTAGATGGGATGACAACCTACGGCCTTCTGAGGCCTTGACAGACCCGCAGCTACACGTTCTATCAGTTGACAACTCACTCCTCAATTCATGCAAGATCTCCTCCACTGCACCTCTGCATCCTGCCTACAGGAAAACAGTTCAACGGCCTAACCTGCAAAATACAATCTAGATCTTGCCAAAGTGCAAGAGCTTCGTGTCAAAAGAAGATGGATCGCACTCAGATCGCCACCAATATGAAACATGAAGGAACCACTCCGGATTGTCCAAGCAAAAAATCACACTTTCGCTACCTGGACCTCACGTTAAGCCCTAAAACGGGTCCCAGAACTCCAAAGGGACTCACATCCTTCCGGCCAGTCAAGGGATGTCGCATGATAACAGCCCGTCGAAGTCCTTTGTCTTTTGCATCCGAAATGAAAAGCCGACATCTGGGGCCCTGGCTGCCAAAAGTCAATGAACAAGCCCAACTCAGGAGCATTGCCATGGATAGGCTTTGGTTGAAATCACCTGGCCGATTTCGTGAAAGACCATGTTTTCGAGGAACCTAGTCTAGATCTTTGTCGCTACGACGGAGTGAGCACACTGATCGTTCAGGATGTCAGGTGCCTAAAGCTGCACCAGTTTCGATCGACTGAATTCGACATGGAAACCGATTGAACGGCTTGCAGGAAGCAACTGCGTTATTCCGCTCAAGGATGCTTTGGTAGTATAATCTGGATGAGGGCAGCGAAGCACCCTGTACTGATTTGATTTTAGATCTCCCTGGATGAAAACTCGACACGCTTCGATCCATGGTAAACCGGTGAACACTATGGTGAAGTGACAAAAAGGTTCTACCTTGATGTCCTCTATATACAGGTGGAGATCGTATTGAGTTTGTGTTTGGCAGCCAAACAAACACAGTAGCCAGTCAAAGGAGTTGGATCGTATCTTCCTTTGCAAGAGCGCAGCCATGTCCTGCGAGGGTTGAACTGACACTGATCCCCAAAAAGTATCTCAACTGTGAAAGGATGGTTTCGCTATAGGCCCTCTGCCGTGGTTATTTGATGTGGATGCAAAAACATGGCTAGCACATCCTTCTGGATTCCGCTCCTATTCTATATCGCTCCTGTGCTCGCGGATATGCTCCTTGTCATGTGTCCGCCTCATTCATCTCCATGGTAGAAGGTTTCAGAAAGGGGAGTCCCAGAAACAACAAACATCAATAACCCAACACTACAAAACCCAAGCCAACAAAGTCCCACCCACCACAACCCACCTTCTCTGCATGATTTTTCCAAACGAAAAACAACTAAAGGTTGCGGGGTGGCAGTTCTGGAACCACTGAACCACTTTCGCCGGCTGTGCCTGGGAGGCGCAGTAAACGATCAGCTCATCGCCATCCTCGGCTCCAACGAGATGCCGTTCTCCGCTGGGGTGCTTCGGCCGGACTCGTCGTGCGCAAAATATCCACTCACACGAACTACGTAGATCAAGGGTTCCCCAAAACCATCGAACTCTGTAGGAGTCCGCCCGGCACCTCAAAAATCTGTGACGTGGATGTTGTAGAGAAAAACACAGTGGGTGGAAGAAAAGAACAGCTTGAACAAATGCTTTTAAGACTGGAATTCTTTGCTGGTCCAAACTAAATATGAACCAAGTCATTTGTCGCTGAATCCCATGGTCGACCTCTTCAAGTGCGAGTTCTCAACTCCCAAAACGAGTCCCCAAGACAGGTACATGTCGTGATAACAAAAGGAAAAAAAAAAAAAAACATGTCTAGCTCAGCGCTCTTCGTTTCTGTTGGACACTCCGTAGAGTCATGGATGTCATGGGAGTCATTCTACTGATGCTATGAGGACAAAAAAACAACAGCATATTATACAGCATCTCTGTCAGCTATTCTGACACTCTGATGACTTGTGTTGTAACGCTCTTACTGGACTCACTTAGGATGTCCCCCTGGTATGAGAGGACCTGATTGTCCAACAAATCCACGCCCGACGAACAATCGCAACACCGGCTTGCAGGTCCAACATGCATAAAATGAACCCGCACGTTGGCGGGCCTGGCAGAGCCTTTGCATAGGAAATCCATTTCCAACAATTTCCTCCATACATCTCTTACTGACTTGCAGTGCTTAGACTCACCCGGAGTCAGTGGTGCCCCCGCCATCCCGCGAAACAACATGTTGAAAAAAACAAGATCCAAATGATCAAAGGTTTTTGGAAGGTTGGAGTTGTTGGAGTGGCGCTGGTTGCCTTTCTTTCGGTATGTCTTGGGATGGAATGGATGAATTCTTGGGATTTCGTGGGTTTTGGCTGCTGTTCCAGGCAACAACACCCTTATTTGACCGGCTGAGACCTGCGTCCAACCCCCCCGCTTGCTCGCCCATGATCTCCGGGGTTGAAAATGACAGAGTCCAAACCTGGCGATGCACCCGACTCGTGTTTAACGATGTTTCACGATGTTTAACGCAGCACGACACCGAGAGTTGAACGAAGCAAAGTCGTTCGCGTTTTGGCGTTTGGGCAGGAAGTTTGGGGGGGTTCGATCGAGATGGCTTAGATGTTCGGGGATGTGCGGGGCGTGCTTGTTTTGATTCTGATGAATTGTCTTTCCGAAGTCTTTGGAAACCATGGCTACTACGTTGGAGGCCATCGCTATTAGGTTGAAGGCCAGGGCCATTGCTATTATATAGGTTGGAGGCCATTGCTATTAGGTTGAAGGCCATCGCTATTGAATAGGTTGACAGGTTGGAGTCCATCGCTATTACTGTAATGTTGACAAAGGACTAAGTAGCCTCCCCCCTATTAATCAAGCCCAGCTCGAGACCCCAATACTAAACTAATTAAACCCTGGTACATCACCCTAATATGTTTTTCTTCTGGCAGAAACCTCCGCCTATTAATCAAGCCCAGCTCCCCCAGGAAAAAACAAAATAATTGGTTTTATATTTACTTATTGTTATGTTCTTTTTGGCTAGTATCTAATATCTTCTGGTCCATGGTGAAACTGATCTTCTGATCCACCCTTGTCTTCTGATCCACCCTTGTCCATCCCATCAACCATCACCCATCATCAGGTCCAGGTCCTCATCTCATCATCCATCATCAGGTGATTCTTTGTTAAGGGGATGTGGTCTCCAATCCCTCCAATCCCAAACGTTGACCTTGAAGGGGGGGGTGATTAATCCGGTGTCGACATTAGGTTGGAGGTCATGGCTATTAGGTTGGAGGCCATGGCTTGTATTCGGAAAGACGTTGGATCTTGGAGGATAGTGGGTGCCAGTCCAGTGGCCTCACCGTCATAGGAAGACCTGCCGCCCTCGCGTGCCTTGCCCATGGACTGAGCCGGCATTGAGGTGCTTCCTGGACCAACCGGACGGTGTCTTGGACATGGGACGTTCAGAACCAATGAGCTAAGGATGTTCCGGAAGCATCATTTTGAGCAGGGCAATCAGTTCGTATCCAAAGTTTGATGGTGCTCAAAACTTGGACATAAATATCAAATCACTTGGTATCACTTATCACTTCGTAATCAATCAATATTGTTCTGTAGATTTAACATCGAATTAAAGTTTGATGGTGCTTGTCTGACGATCAGTCAAAACATTGCTGAGCTCCCTGACCCATTCATCACGCACTGATCGTCTCCATGGGCAATGTTCCCGACTCTCACCTGGGCCTCGATCATGAAGCCTGACATGTTCGGCTAGGTTCGCACATGCGCGTGTGTCGGAGGGACGAGGGAGGCAAACCGTGAGCTTCTTGCACCTGAACAACCCGAGGGCCACTTAAGAGTGTGTCACGAAAGAACGTCAGCGGTTCGGCACAGTTCCTTTAATTTCTGTTGGGCTGCCCAAGTTGTGAAAGGTACTACATGTTAAGTACAGTACATACTAATATATATATATGCACATACATGCAAAGGCAAAACACATTCCACTTATCCGTTCAGCATGCTCATCCCTTCCGATCCCTTTTGGAAAAATGCTAGCGCTTCGACGCTCAGCCAACGAGCGAAACGAGTTCTCTTTTTTTTGCGGCAGAACCAATACTTACTTCTGCAAATGACCTGCTTAAATAAAAAACAAGTTTAACTTGTTACACTTGAACAGGTGCATTCAACTAGGAGACTTCTGTGAGCAACAAACCTACACCGAAGACAGGCTCGGCGGTGGGTCCCATGGACCCAGTCGGCCTTTGTGCGAGTCAGGGCCAATCCTTGGACGGGTCCGGTTGTCTGGGCGAGTTGGGTTGGCAAATGACATGGCAATGGCGCAAAGAAGCGCTGAGTGTCAAAGGAACCTCACCTTTCAACCAATACTAGCTTGGGGAAGCAGGCGGCAACAGTTGAAATCCCCTGGATTGGATGGAACAAAATGAACTGCGCGTGGCCAAGAGATCTGCTTCTTCAGAATCAAAAGAACTCATCTGAGCAAGCTAACATGAGTTGATTGTATCAACAAGCAAATTATGATCTGAGGTGCATGCAGATTGATATAGATATCGTGTTGAAGGACCAACTTGCAGCATTCTCAAGACAATGTAGACCTTTCTAAATCACTATATGGATCCAAGCAAAAGCAGCCGAGCACAAAGCAACACTAATTACCCGACACATCGGATGATCATGGAAACACATATCTATATATCTACCGGTATTTATAGGCCGAATCCACAACCCCAAACATCCAAGCGCCCTGAGTTGTCGCTCCAGAAAACACACCTGCCGCCTCCCCCCAAAAAGGAAGAAAACACGGTCCCCAAAATGGACCGAACCCCACGGTCGGTTTCCCAGGCGACTCCGCCGAAGGGCGCTTTGGTCACGGTGGCCTTAGGGCTCATGGCGAAGTAGACGCCTCCACCACACCTGATGGACCGACACGTCTGGTGACCGTGCCACGCAGAGGGAGACACTCCCAGACTGGTCACACGAGTTCGTCGGACGACCTGAAGGAGGGAAGCATAAGACTGGGGTCCTAGATGGTTTTGGTAGCACAGCTGGTAGGTGACAGCAGCAGGGCTTTGAGCATTAATTCCTTGTTTTGTGCTGGTATATCAACTGCAAATCAAGTGTTGCTGGGACCTCATTCTCAATGTGTGTCATGAGCGGGACAATGAAATCATGTGTATATATTATGTATACATATAAGTTAATTACAGTTTTATTTGTCAACAGCAAAGTATGTGCAACCCTGATATCCACCATGACCAACCCTAGGACAACGACAACCAACTACAACTCTCATTGACTGGTGCCGTCCCGTCACTGAGGTACTTGCCTATATAACCTTGCCTTTGCAAAAGGACCAGATAGAAAGTCATCCCGCACAGGGGACTCTGTTTTAGCCATTGGAATCTGCATGCCTTTCCTCAGTGTTTTGCAGCTGGATTGTTGCTGTTGGTTGTTTAGAATAGAAAAGCAAATCGCATGCCGCTTATTTATGAGAAGAAAACACAAACAAAACGCGAGAAGGTAGCCCTGCGTCAAGGGTTCATCAGATCTTTTCACACATCTTCAATCCCAGCCATCGAATGAGACAAACACGGTCGGCTTGAAGCAGGAGGGCCTTACCCTAGCTGGGTGACCAACGATCAGTGCATCGAGAAAAATTCATCGCAGAAAAAAAACAGAAAAACAAAAGCAGCCTTCTATCTATCTGGACGACTTGTGTGCTTTTTAAACTTCAAACCAAGCATCCCGGATATATACACGGGTTGGTTCCAAGACTTCTGTTGTTCACTGCTGTCACCTTGTGGATCCATCCCCGGTTCAGCCGCCGGTTCCGTCGTTTTGGGGCACCCGACCAGCCCACTTTGCCCAAGTGAAAGCCTTCCTTCAGAATCAAAGGCCCTGTACGAAGAAACGACGCACGCTGTAAGTGAGCGGGCCCACTGCTTGCGAGTACTGCTTGCACTCGAGTGGCAGGTAAACCCTTTTTGATGTCATGAGATGTCAGGCTTGACCTTTGAACAAAACGAACCCTCGCCTTTGGCTTCGGCTGATTACGTGACTAGACTGCGGAGTCAACCGGCTCAAACATCACCGACTTTCAACTCGGCCAATTCGCGGACCATGACTTAGAGAACTAATTACAGTCCAATGATTGCGTCACTCAAACAACTTCCAAGACAAACCCAAACGGAAAAACAAAAAAACAATGAAAACCACATCTTTTCCTGCTTTCAAACATAAACTAACAGTCACAACATGACGAACACGAGGCGACCGCTCCGGATCTGCTGCATCCGGCCTATGTCACAGCCCGTCTGATGGTAGACCGTCATGACTTGATCTCGGGTGAGGGTATGGAAATTAGTGTGTGTGTGTGTGTGTCATGCAGCGTTGGACGTAGCATATGTATACATATTAAAAAATATACATATATAACATTATACAATATACATATATATATATAGTTACCCATTGATTCTAGTACCGTGCCATGGGCATTTATGCTAATATGACATTAATATGATATGTTTCAATTGTCAAAACAAAACCACCTTGAACATATATCTTTTCAGAGTATAGTATTGCTCCCGTATTCGATCAGTGTTCTTGTTGGCGTTCCCACGATCAGTGGGGCACAAAAGCACTCTGAGCACTCTCTCAAGCGCTGCTAACAGAGGAAAGGTTCTGTGTTGTTATGTGTTCGGAAGCGTGCATGACCAAGTTGATAAACCCTTCTTGCTGCATGGTAGCTGTCAACGGCTGGAAAAATAAGAGCATGATGGAATAAACAATAATAAAAGTACTATGTGCATACCATTTTTGCCGGATGGAGTAGTACCATGTCATCCATTAAAAAAGAAACTTATAATACGACGAGAGTGGTCAAACTTGATGTTAAAACTCAAGAAGTTAGCAATGACTATATACCTCTACCTCACCCAAACATGGAGCGCGCACACACACACACAACAAATTGAGAACACATGCCTTCCTCAACTAGGTGGCAACTGGGTGGGTGCGACAGGTCTTCTCCACTGCGGCATTTGCCCACAGCCAAATTGATACAATGGATCAAAACCCCATCCTAATGGCGTCAGAACTTTGTTTGCAATGAATACCCAAACCAGTCAATAATGGACCTAGGTGCGGAGACCACTTTCAGCAAATCACCGCCTTTTGTCCATCTCACCATCACATGACCTTCGACTGACTGATGCTCATGGCCGTATCCAGTAGTATCTAATCAAATCTAATCCTTCCTGCCGTCAAAACCTACAAATCTTCATCCAAATCCTTCCTCCCTATATATGTTCCACTAGCAGTGAGGGTGCAGGGACCAGCCCCCCACCAGGTACCCAGGCGCACCCCAGGCACCCTGACTGCCCTGGATGTTGTCGCAGTTGCCGCCCGAAGACCCACCCGACTGGTCGGGTGCAGGAGTCCATCTCTGCGTTGGTGTCACGCAGGTGTGCCAGTGGATCTCAGCGCGATGCGAGCGATGCGGGCGATGGCGTGGTGCCGGTGCCAGGTGCGCGGTGCGAGCCTTTGCATGAGTTTTGGGACGAACGCCCTTCCGTTGGTGAAGGTTGACGAGTCATTGATAAATATTGATGAGACATCTGGGACTGTCTGACTGGGAGAATCTGAGACTTTTTGCCGCATGTCCCGGTCCAATTTCTTCGATCGCGAGACCGAGGTTCTTCGGTTCTTCGTCACTCTCGTCGGTGGAGTGATCGAACGGCGACGGAAAGCGAATGCATTGGAGTGATCCGTATCCAGACTGGTTGACATAAAACCAGACTGATGAAGTATCAGTATCCCTGCATCACAACTGAGTTTCCAACTGATGGTATATCCAGTGGTGTATCGATTAACAGCACCTCCTTGTCCCAATGTCCCTGGACCCTCGAATCGCATCACTTGTTTGCAGTTCATACGATGGCCCGGTGGCCATGCTTCAAGACTCAGGAAGAACAAGCATCTCAAGCATCAACCTGTTGATGAACCAGTACAAGTATATATAAATATATATTTATATACTATTGTATCATGCTATATCATGTCAACTTGCACAGCGTTTCAACAGCGGAAGTTGAACATCATTCAGATTCACAATTAATTTGTGTGCATTGCCGTGAATCCAGGATTCTGGAAATAAGTTCTTGGTTCATTCTGATGCTTGCGTTGCTTGGACCGAGCCACCTAAACCGTAAGCCTGCATAGTCTAGCCACGCCCTAGCGCAGCCAGACCAAGCCATCTGGCTGGACCGCCGATGATTCGAAGCGGTCGTCGGGACTGACCGAGCGGTCAGCCATGGTCAGTCTCCATCAGTGGCACCTCCTGCGCCGCAAAAAAGACCGAAACAGCCGGCAGGAAAAGCTGCGCCCCATCGTGGAAAAGTGAGGCGCAGCCCGGCGGAAGAGAGAGAGAGAGAGATCAACCCCCTCACGCCATCTTCGCAAAAAGAAGCGGCGGGAAAAGTGGAGAAGACTTGGACCCCACAGAAATCGAATCGAGAACTTGGTTTACTGTGGGAGTGACTCCTGGACTCTCACAGTCCCCGGTTCTGCAAAACATGGCGAGTGCTTGGATTTGCCAGCAAGCAGAATAACGCACAGCAATGGATCGCATAACATCTGGTTTCGGGAAAGTCCCAAATGACTTTTGACCATCTTGGTCGTCATGGTCCTGCTCTAGTAGATCCTGAAACAGCCGCAGTGACATGTTCCTGAAAGACAGAAGTATCGCTGGACAAATCCAGGATTTTCAGATCAATTGCCTCTTAATCCGATCCTTCCGCAACGTCAGTCAGAGTTCTTCAGTTGATTCCACAAAAATACGGAAGCTAAACCTAGCTGGCTTAAATGTTGCCAAATGGTTCCAGCTCGGTTTTACTTTGCAACGTTTTTTACTCAGACTTGCCGTGCTTGGAAGACTCATAGAGGCATCGGGTCACATTGCGATGTCTGTGAAACCAGATTGAAGAATTGAAGACCAACCTGCATGGTGGGAGAATACCTCCAAATGCCGGTACATCGTTGGGCAAAGACTCAGGGAATGGTAACCGAGCCCAGCTTCTTCGTGTTGTTTTGAATCGTTTTTGAGGGCTTTTGACTGGATCAAAATTGCTCTTGGAAGACAAGGCAAATGTCATCCGGAACAAAAAACTCACTGCCTGATTATTTTTTTGGGGGGGAGAGCCCAACAAAGACGAATCTGAACGAGCAAACATGCACCCAGCACCCATTGTTTTTTCGGTATTTGAGCACACACACACACACTAACACAACCAACAGAGAGGCAGTGGCCGCGAACTGAGTCCAATCCCACTGATTTACTCCCTCAGTTTCCCTGCAAAAAACAAGACTAACCTTCGCCTCCTGTTCTTGTTTGGAATGTCCCAAGAAAGGTTTAAGGCTATCCACTGACTTGGTTTGGAATACAACTGGCACGGATTCAAGAAGTCACCTGGCCCACTGTTGATGAACCTCTATCAGCAGGACCCCAACAATATAAACCATGTGTATATATATATATATTATATATATATTGATCAATGTATTGAAAAGGTTCACTAGGAATCCAAAGGTTCTGTGATGTTCTGTGTGAAAAGGGATTGGTGAGTTGCTTTGAAGATCAGACTGCCCGAGCAAGACATCTAGAGGCAAACGCTCACACAGCATCATGTGGATGTCTCATCAGGACAGCAGGGATGGGAGGGATACCTCAGAAGCAGCACCGTAGAATTTTAACCCACATTGACATAATCAAAACCATTCAACATAATATAAAGGTCTGAACCTGCAAACACATTCCTGTTGCAGTCTTCCTTATTGGTGCAAGGAAAGTGCGCAAGCAGCATGATCCACAAGTGGAAAATTGTCCAAAGTTTGGGCCTTTTGCAGAACAAATCTCTACTTGGCATCCTACAGCAATCTAGAGAAATGCCTCCACTTAACCGTCTTAATTCCAAATAGATCCAAATAGCAGCTGTTTTTGGTGCTCCATCTTTTGGTGATCCATGAAGAGCATCCCAACAAAACTATCTTCGTGTGGTTCTTCCGACAGGTCTGCACTTCAGAACGCAGGTGCGACGGCAAACAACCGCAAATGGCAAAACACGATTCAAACATTTGGGGTTCCCAACGACCATTGTAGAGGCCAAGTAGCTACTAGGAGTAAAGACGCTGCTAGGGGCTCCTGGCCTTACTACTAGGAGCAAGGATGCTACTAGGGGCTTCTGGCCTTACTACTAGGAGCAAAGGCGCTACTGGGGGGCTCCTGGGAGCAAGGAGGCTTTCAAAGGAAACAACACATTTTTGTTGACTCACGGCACCACGCCCCGAGCAGCATTGAAACGATTGACGATTCCGAGCAGTGAGATGGTTTGCCTTTTGAATCTGTTGTGCCTCTAAGGGGTAGGTCAAAGTGAGCCAGGAAGCCAACAAGAGAAAGTCTTCAGGGATGACACTGATCTGGCTAAAGGCCAGAACAAAGGATCCCATAATCCCCATAGCCTCGGCCATGTAAGAATCCATTGGTCCATGCTCGGCCAGCTACTCCAAAAATGATCCCCAAAGGACGCCAAACATGATGGTGAGGCATCTTTGGTATCTAGTGGTAAGTGCATTCCAACCGCAATTCCCATCCCGAACACATGTAAGGGGGTTAAACAAAGAAACTAGGAGAAGGTCCTTCGTGAAGGTCTTGGAAACCCCGTCCTCAAGAGACACAACACAAAGTCAAACAAATCATTCCCCCCCAAACAACCCTATTCGACCCTATTGGTGTGTGCTTCCATCAATTCTTCCAGCCGGAACTGTGCGCGGCCGAGTTGCGGGAGTTGGTCATTTGCCTCTCCCAGGCCACTGAAATCCGTCTCCGTTTCCGAAGGAATCTCGGGGCCATCCATCACAAACTCCTCCACCTGTGGAGGTGAGTGACGAGCCCGCCTTCCGTATACGCAGTTGTAGAGAACAACCGAGCCCCTACAGGTTCAGTTTGTTCAGTTTATCTTCTAATTTATTTGTTGAATTGGGTTCTCACAAGGTGTGAGAGACGTGCAGCTGACACATATGTTATGCTGAAATGAAAGAATAGGACTAGGATGCCAGGATTGAACACAATGCCATCTGCACATAGTTTGGTGAATGTGGGTGCCTGTCCAGCTTGGTGAATAGCAGGCTTTCGGCTATGATTGCTAGCGTCTGTCCAACAATCATAGATAATCATAGCATTACCTCAAACAAACAGCACATTTCATCTACAAAACCATAGTTGCCCCAATATGGGAAACAAATATGGACCTGTTCAAAACATGGTGAGTCATGTGTCCGCATCTGTCGAGGGCATGGGATTGGGTGCAACAACTCATCAGTCAGGGAACAGCTTGGGGTCCAAACATTGTTGTAGGTCTGTTCTGGAAACACCTCAGCTGTACCCGAACATAGCTAGAAATCAGAGAGGTCTAGCTACTTGAGCTGCTCAGTACAACCAACCTTCCAATCTAAGCTCTAAGCTTGATGGGACAACTGAGCCGGCTTGATCGATCAATCACACCAAATATGGCTGCTATGTGTCTGACCCCTTCAAACAAAATGTTAGAAAGGTTAGCCTTATATTCAGCGATGGCAGCCATACATGAACAACCATCAAATATTGTGTTTTTTTGTGTGTGAAAACATGTGAAAAAACAACACAAAAGCAAATGCACATGCGAAAGCAGCGCAATTTGCTTTGTGTTTGCATTCGTTGTGCTTTTTGTTTGCTCTTTTTCCTGGTACCACTTCTGCACTTATGAGAACTTTTACCCGTCAGCAATATTCGCTGTACGCTCCTGGGAAAAAAAAGGCGAAAACAATGCGAGACAAGTGCGAAAACAAAGCAAACAAAGTGAACATAAAGCGAATCAAAGAACAGTGGAAAAAAAACTGCAACAAACATGTGCAGCTGCATGTTTTTGTTTTTTTTGTTTGCTTTACTTTTTCTTTTTCTTTCTGTTTTGCTTTAAACAACTATTTTGGCTCCTTGTATCTGTGGCTGGCGTTCCGAACCTAAGGTTATCCATTGACTGGGTGTTTTTGTTGGCATTCCCCAACCAGTTTACTGTTGGTACTCTTTCTTCGGAAAAAAGGCGCTGGTGTGATAGCCGTGGCCACTCCGTCCGCCCTTTCTTCACCCCCTTGTCCGGGCTTTATCAAAGACTGTGTGGATGGCCCTCGTCCGGATCTATGAGCCCTGCTTAGCTGCGCTATGGGCTCTTCCCGCTTGTGCAGGCCTTCTCGGGCTCTGTGTGTCCATGTTTGGCCGCGCCGTGGGCCCTTTCTTTTCCCCCCTTGTCGGGCTTGTCCAGGCCTTGTCCTCAGGTCTGTGTGTCTTGCTTGGGCGCGCCGTTTTCCCTGTCCCCACCGCCTGTGAATGCAACAGTAGCACAGCGTGTCAAATCTGATATGTTCCTCCGGTTTTCTCATGACATATATTCGTCATTATTTCACATGTGGCCCGGGATCGGGCATCACAAAATCTGTTTTGCCCACTATATACATGCTGCTCCCAAACAGCTGGAAGCTAAAGGAGTAAGAATTACAAACATTGGAATTCAAGGAATTGATGCAACAAAATCATGCTGAAACTGGACGGGGTCTATACTGGGATGATACATATATATATATATATATGTCAATTGGCCATGTCTGCCACCAGTCACTCGCAGGGCTGTCGTGCACTTCCATTCGTCCGAAGGCCATTTCGCGACTCGAGGCATCGCAGGAAAAAGGCCGCCTGGTCCGCAGGGTCGGACACCTTGGTAGGTGTTTTGTGATATATATATATATATGTTATGTGTATTATATATTTATATAATGTTAATTTTTATAAATGTCAATAGCCTTGCCACGTGTTCATCAGTAAAGGTTTCAGGCTAATAGAACCTTGCATGATCCAATCCTTCAACCCCTGGTGCATTTGGTGCTTGTTTTAACAATAACAAAACACTGTACAAACAATAGCTTTAAATGTGTTCCTTCCAAAACCTGTGACCCGAAACCACCAGCAAGCAGCCTCTATAGAGATTTTCCAAAACCGTACATCCAATACAAATGTGTCCTGCCTAACTGTGAGTATGTAACTGTGAGTACTACTGTCAGTGTTATAGTCTAACTTGTAGTGCAATCCACTTTTTGAGGTTGAACGAAGGTAAGAGAACACCCACGTCTCGCCTCATCGGCGCCAAAGGTCACCGACTTCATGGACCTCGTGGTGGAACACGCACGTGGCAAAACACGGACCAAAAAGACGAACAAATGCCATGGAAGCTCTTCAAACATCTTCAAACTGTTGAGCTTAAGGGACTTGAACAAGTTGGAGAAATAGAGGGCCATCAAGCACTTATCTAAGACACAAGACATCCATGTGCTCCACGTGTCGCGTCCAAAAAAGACATCGCCCACCACTGGTCGACTTCTTCGCCAAAGCGCTTCCGCGACATGGTCGACTTCCTCGCCAGCATGGCCGCGTCAGAGCGGGTCGCTGAATTGGGCGGCCGCGAGGCGCTACGGCTCCGGGCAGAGGCTTTGGAGCCTTTTGAGGTTCGCGTCTGGTCCTGGAAGTGGAGCGGAAATGGCCTCCCACCTTTTTCGATTTCTATGCACCAAGTCGAGGTTGGGTGCGGGGTCGTAGACACACCACAAATCATTAAAATAAAATAGTTCAGGAACTTGCTTTTTGTGATTCCACTCGGTGGCTTTCCACTCGGAAGACGAAGGGAAAAAGTCATTAGGTCTGCTCGTCCAGTGTGTGGGAGTTTTTCAACCTTTGTTCCTCTCTGTCATGACTATCCCAAAGTCTACATCAGGTGTATGCACTGAATTGAGTCACCTGCTTCACCAACAAGCCGCCCACTGCGACAAAAAAGCGGTTCGTCGGACAGGTGACACTGAAGCGAGACAACGCTGAAGCACCGCCACAACCAGCATAGGGGACCACTCCCATCCTGAGCGGCGCAGAAAGGTACGGTTCCGAATCTTCCATGTAAAACAAAGCACTGTGAATCCTCTGAAGGCAGTTTTCAACCGCTGTTCCTGCTGTCCAGTGTCCCAAACTGCTTTTCTTCCTGCTTTGAAGGTTACCGGTAAAACAGGCGGATTCTATAAACACTTTCCAATTGTCGTTCATTGTCGAATTGCATCAGATCCTGGAATGACCCTAGTTCGCCAACGACCCTCCTGTACATGTCTTCTTTTGCACCCGTTTGCACCTTCCCCCCCTTGTCTTCGATGCCGGTGGTGATCTGAAAGCATCTTCTCAAACAGGAACACATGACCTGGACCTGCCATACCCGGCACCTGCTCAGGCCATGTGTTCTTTCTCTGTGCATGGGTCAAAAGCCTGCAACCCTGGTTGACCCTTCAAATGGAACAGATTAATCTATTTATGAGGAACGTCAACCTTGCATGGTTTGTAGGGTCCCTTTGACCCACACCCACATGAGTAAAACCATAAACCCACTTGTTGTAAGCTCGCAATTGTGCTGACAAAGCCGTTCCCATAGACCAGCCACAAATTTCGGCTGACAAGCACACCTGATGGAGCAATCCACCGAGCTGTAGGTCCCGTGTCTATAATTCTACAACTATATATATATATATATAATGTGCAAAACTGCGGACGGCGGCCTATTTCCTCACACCTAGGGGGGTGCTCGGGCACTAAAGGATCGGTGGATGGACCATGATGTCGTGACATTTGCACGGGTCCCAAACTAGAAAATTAACAGTCTTTCCAGGAACGATCCGATACGAGTCCTTCACTGTATGTTGTGCACGCATGGTCGAGTGGGTTCAGTCCTTCTCGACGTCGAACCTTCTCGGATTTGCCATCTCCCTCACAGGTGATGCGAAAACGAAAACCAAGGGTCGTGTACATCACTGCTTGATGCTTTTCGGAACACTTGGTGAGGCTGTTGGCGATCATTGCACCACCATGTACCCACATCAGCTTTGTGTTGCACTCTTCAAGGTTATCACGCAGTGAGATTGCCTCGATGTCAGCTCTCTTTTCAGCTCCTTTGACCACCACTGTAGGACGGTGAACCTTGTCGTACAGGTTTCTGGAGTCTGTGATTTGAAGTGCTGGTATATATCTTGCAGCTTCATTTGGAAGGCGTGGGTCAAGTGGTTGACCGCACATCTCACTCCAGAGAACTCGTAGATAAAGAAGGTCATCCTCTGCTTCTGTGTTGGCCAAAGTTTCGGCACAGGCCGGGCTTCTGCACACTCGCTCAATTTTTGAGCTTCTCCAGTGTATTGGTGATATGTTTCTTTCGAGACCCTCTGCTAGTCCCTCATCACTCATACCAATAAACACACCAGCTGTTGAATCTTTGCCGTTCGGCCTGTTTGCCCATGCTGCATCAGCCCAAGCTACCATGTAGAGTTGTGCCTCTTTGTCAAAACTGTGAATCTTATATTCTTGGTGTTTCCACTTCTTCACGGAACGAACCAGTGCGTTTGTCTTGTTGATTGTTTCAACTGTTGCGACCGGGATCTCTGAAATCAAGAAATTGGTGTCCACAGAAAATAGAAAACAGGTTTGTCCGCATAGCCATGAAATGCTCCCCAACACTCCTCTCAAACAGCTCTTCTCAGAGTCGCTTGCAGCTAGTTGAGGTTGTCGTGCTCGATCTCGATTGATGTGGATTTCCTCAATCTCTTCTATGAACCTTTGTTGGTTGAGGGTGATGCTGAAATCCTCATGTTGGGTCACCAGAATGCCACACTGTTCAAACTGTTGTTCCTCCCAAGTGCCCCAAGAAAAGGATTGTCGGAGTGCTTCCATCAATCTTTTGTGTACTGGATTGTTTTTGTGGCCACCAAAAACAAAATCATCGACATGACCATGTATGATAGATTGCACTTCCTGTTGCTCATCAACGTACACCCAACAACATGGTTCGGTAATCAACCGACGGTATCCCAAGCTTTCCATGGTTGTGCAAACTGACCGGTACCACTGTAGCGGTGCCTGAACTAAACCATATGCTGCTTTTGTCAGTAGCATGGGAGTGTCATCGGCTACCCCCATTTCCTGGCAAATTTCTTTGACAGGGCGACACCAAATTGCCTCCTCCATGTCCTGCCCCTGAAGAAAGGCCCCACTGACGTCACCCTTCATGATGTGGAACTTTTTCCAGGCACATAGTTGAAAGAAAAGTTGTCGTCCAGCCTTGCTTGGGGTTGGTGCCGCGGTCTTGTGCTGTTCATAGTTGGGATCTTGGTATCCCAAGATGATAGCTCTTGCTTTTGCTTTGCGGCCCCCTTCATATTTTGGATCATATTTCCAGGTTAAAAGCCAACGCATGCCCACCACTTCCGACTCATTGGGAATGATGTCAGCTGCTGCCCGAAAACATTGTGCCGAGATGAAGTTCTTGACCTCATTGTTCTTAGCCTTTGAGAATTGTATCAGCTCCTCTGATGTCAGTGTTTTCTCTCTCACCTCCACTTGTTTGCGTTTCAGCTTGCTTGCAATGAACGCTTCAGGTGAACGTTGAAAAAGCTTCCACTGTCGATGGGAGTCTGGGATGTCAATCTCAATCTCTATGGTTTGTCTCTTGGCAACATTGGCATAGTAGGCGATGAGGTTGGTTTCTGACTTTTCTTTCTTCCGACTTCCTGAGGCCTCCTCAGAGAGTTCTTGTCTTTTTGTCCCCTTTTTCACAAGCACCTTCTGGCGCTTAGCCTCCTGTTCATTCAGAGGCTTTTTCTCATCATGTCGACGACGAGGTGCCAGAACTTCTCGTTCCTCATACTGACTGTCTCCCACCATCTCATCATCCCCATTTTCGAGGATTTGTTGCCACTCAGCCTCTGTAGGACATTCTCCTGTAATGTCATCAAAAATTTTCTTTGTTGCTGTCTGGCACAAACTTGTAATTGTCCATGGGAGTTCAACCGGTTGTCTCAACTCTTCAATCCAGGTTTCTGTTTGGCTTGCATGTCGGAGTTGTTCGGGTGCTGCCCGCAACAACTTGCCTCCTCGAAAAATCCAAACTGTTCCCCCAGGTCGAAGTACCCCATCATCATTACGTGTTTCTGTTGCTAGAACTCTTGCTGGCCCCAAAAATCTTCCCTTCTTGAAGCTGGTACGGTCTTCAGGTGGAAGTTGGTTTCTCCAGTAGTAGACCAAATCCCCCGGAACAAAATGTTTGTATGCCCGATGGCCCATGCGCTCTGCCCGGTCCAGTCGGCGTTTGTTTTGCTCATCCAAGAAGGCCTTCTCAGCTGTCTGCCGCAACTGGGTTTCCTCCTGAAAACCATTGTCCAACATGAGTTGAGGGTGAAGAGGGAGTTCCCGATCATCATGAAATGTTCTTGTGGTTGGGTCAGGCGACCTCCCCATAACGTACTGCATGGGACTGAACCCCCTGTAGAGTTCCCGACAGTTCGCCACCCACAAACACTGTGCCAAAAGGGTGCCTTCTTGAGCATCGGGAAAATCATCCCCTACTGCTTCCATCATGCCCTT